AGCCCACCCTCCTCCCCAGCCCCCCACCCTGGCCGCGGGGGCGGCGCGCTCCGTCTACGCGTCCGGGGCCCCGCGGGGCCGGGCCCGGAGTCGGCATGAATCGCTGCTGGGCGCTCTTCCTGCCTCTCTGCTGCTACCTGCGTCTGGTCAGCGCCGAGGTGAGTTGCGACGGCGGCCGGGGATAGATCCTTCCCTCGCCTCCCCAGCCCCCACGCCTGGCCGCCCCCTCCTCCCCCTGCAGTGAACTTTGGAGCCCTGCAGCGCGTGAGCTAGGCGCCGGGCACTGGGTGGCCCCAAGGGCTGGGAGGCCAGGTCTGGGGTTCTGGGCTCCATGAGGAGACAGCCGTGGGTTTCTCTTTCCAGTGGACCAACATTTTAGCGTCCTAGAAGGTGTGTGTTGCCCTGCCCTCTGCTTCAGGCGCCAGAGCTCTTAAGCCCCTTCCCTGCCAGGGGAGAAGGGGTGGGGTGGTATCTAAGGTGCCTATGGCATCGCGACCTCCTGAGTCCACCTTGGAACCAGCCTGGGCTTTGGTTCTGCCCAGGACCCGGCCTGCCCTAGTGGTGTGCGCCCTCGAACTCAGGATATCCACAGAGACCTTTGGCGAGGGTTCTGGTCCCACCCAAGCTTCTGCGCTGGGCTGGGGTGGGCACCTCGGGGTCATGCTGGACGGTCCAAAAGCACCTTGTATCTTGGTGCAGGGGGGCCAGAGAAAGAGACAGAGACACTAGAGAGCCAGGCAGACAGACACACGGTAGGTTCAGACGCTTGAAGTAGAGACAGGACTTTGGAAGCAGGGGGAGGTTCTGAAGGAATCCAGCCCCAGGGGCTGTGTGTGTCTGAGGCCCGGCCATACCTGCGCCCGCGCCCTGCGCGAGGAAGCACCTCTCTCCCCCGCATGCAGGCTGCGGGGCGCGCGCCTGCAGAAGCCTAGCTGCAAGGGAGGTGGGGTATGGAAACGTCTGCTGGAGCGATCAGGTCGGATCGGTGCCCCTACCCCTCCCAGCCTCACGTAGCAGTGAGTTGGCAAGTCTACCGGGAATCCAGGTGGGAAGGGGGCGGGGCAGGAGGAGGCGCGAGCTAGAGCGAGGCGAGGGCCGGGAGAGCGGCGTGTCCGGGTCCCGTCCCGCCTCCGCCCGCGGAGGTCCAGAGCCCGCACCTAATCGGCTGCGGGCGAGACCAGCCCGGTCGCCCGCAACCAAGCGTTGGGGAGAGGCGGCGGCGGCGGCGGCGGCAGCAGGGAAGGGGTTAAGGCGGAGGGCTCCGAGGCCGCGGCCCGACCTTGGGCCGCCGCCAGCGCAGGTTGTTTTGACCACGGAGGAGCCGTCGCCGTCTCCTTTTGTTCTTGGGGCTCCTCGAGGGCCGCCGGCCGCCCGCCCTGGGGGCCCCGCCC